CGAGACTCACATCTACATCTACATCTACACCTACATCTGCATCTACATCTACACCTACATCCACATCTACACCTACACCTACATCTAAACTTTCGCATTGGTTTTGCTTTTGCTTTGCATTGACTTTGCTTTTGCTCTTGCCTTTGCTTTTGCCTTTGCCTTTGCTTTTGCTTTTGCTGTTGCTTTTGCTTTGCTTTTGTTATTGCTCGGTTTTGCTTTTGCTTTGCCTGCGCACAGACACACACACACACACACGCATGTTTTTGCATTCGCTCACCGGGTGTGCTATGCTGCGCTATGCTATGCTATGCGCTGCTCTGCTCTGCTCTGCTCTGCTATGCTGCGCAATGCTATGCTGGGCTGGGCTAGGCTAGACTATGCTATGCTGCGCTATGCTATGCTGCGCTATGCTATGCTATGCTATGCTTTTGCTTTGCCTTCGCTTTTGCCTTCACTTTTGCCTTTGCTTTTGCTTTTGCTTTTGCTTGGCACCCAAGGAGCGCAACTGGGGGAACCGCGCGTTTGCTTTTACCTTTGCTGTTGCTTTTGCTTGGCTCCCAGGGGACTGGGGGAACCGCCCGGGGCGGTTTCCACCGCCCGGCCCCTTCAAGCCAAGCGAGTAAGAACCCTTCTAGGCAGAGCCTAGGTAGGGAATTACCTCGACCCATGGAACCACTAGACGACCCCAATCGTTGGAGACATCGCTCCGGAAACACATGGGGATGTACCAAGCGCAATTATACGCCACTAACCGAACAAATTCTGGCAACACGGAATGTTGAAGGTTTTGGAAGAGATTTCAACAAGCTACCTGGGCTATCTCATCACATGACTCGCCTCGGCATCGACATTCTTTGCATCCGAGAGACAAGCATCACAGACGTCGCACTTTGTGGACAGTGGTTTCGTAGTGGACATCAGAACACCATGATGGGCGCTTCTATTCTGGCATCGGCTTTGCAGTTGCAGCGCGTGCAACCGTAGCCGTGGTCAGTTTCAAACGTATTTGTGCCAGGCTCGCTGCGTTGAGGCTGAATGTGCGTGGCGGGATTCCTGCGGTCATGCGTTGTTACGCCCCGCACGCTGTACATAGTCTTGAAGATCGGCAATATTTTCTTGATTCTCTCACAGACGCATGGCGGCCCGCAAGCAAACACAACACGACAATCGCAATCGGTGACTTTAACTCGAAGCTCTTTGGCAAAGGGCCGGGGGAAGATGCATTGTTGGGTGATTTCGTCTTCAAGTCGAGGTGGCTGAAGAATCGGAAGAGAACGATCAGAGACTTGCTCATAGACGCATGCCGGGCTGCCGAGACGAAGGTCGCCAACAAATTCCTCGAACTGCCTGACGGCCAATTGATGACGTCTTACTCGCCGCAAGCGTAGAAGATGGATGCCATCGACGACGAGGGCTTTGCCCAAACCGATCACTGTTTGATGGATGCCAATACGATGTTTTGGATCCGGAGTCTGAGGTCGGACAGAACCATCCCGTGGGCGACCAGGCACTTCCTCCTGCAACTGCGCCTGGGGCTGTCTCTAGATACTTTTACACAGGCACCGCTGCGCAGCAGCAACGATAATTGTGACTGACGACGACTCCGTGCAAGAATATCCTTCTGAGAAGTGGGAACACGGGTGCCTCTTCTGCAGTGGACCAACACGACGACAAACCATGGTGTCTGCATCAGGGGAGCTGGTTACCAACCTGGCCAGGAAGCTCCAAAAATCATGGATACGCCAAAATTCACGCCCGATCTACTCATGGAGCGAGATCAAGTCAGAGCCAGTGAGACTCCAAACAAGGTGACAGACCTTATGAAGCACATCAGGGCATCTGTGAAGGAAGACGAGCAACGATGGCTGGATGAGAAACCTGCTGGAGCTTCCTGGGCAGCCGTGCGTGGTTCTTGACAGGGCCCGCTAAAAAACCTGTTCAGATACGCGACGCTGCAGGACACCTGGTGGAGAACAGTGCGCGCGCAGACACGATGGCGGACTAGTTCGAATTCTTGCAATGTAGCGTAACTCACCGAGAACTCGAGCCGACTGGGGCCTAGGAGATGGGCGCCATGTTGCTGGTCAACACGAGCCCGTTCGACATGGGTGAACTCATGGCGGCCTTGAAATCCACCACCGTGGGGAAAACACATGGGCTTGACGGAATCCATCCAGACTTATGGAAGATCTTGCGTGGATCGCAAGAACCCCTAGACGACTTATTGCCATTGTGCCAGAGGTGGTGGGAAGAGAAAAAAATACCGGACGAATGGCGCACCGCACGGGTGGCGCTGCTTCTCAAGAAGAGGAGGGACAGCAGCAACCCGGAGAACAATCGGCCGATATCTCTTTTCTTCGCATTGGCTGTACGATTATAGGGTGGATGTTACAACGACGGCTTCAACGAGGCGGCGCAGAGGGCAGACTGAGACAGGCGCAATTCGGTTCTAGACCGAAAAACAACAAAAAACAAGATGCAACCGATATCGATTGCCATGCGGAAGTACGAAACACGACGTGCGTCGAAGTCGCCCAGGCTCGTGGCGGTCTTCTTGGACTGGGCGAAAGCGTTCGACAGGATCAAGCACAATGCTTTGCTGCAAAATTGCGGAGATTCGGAATACCCGACCGCATAGTGGACATGACTGCTGGCACCCACCCAAAACGGAATTTCATCCTTCAAGACCTGGCCACCTGGCCAAGGACTCGAGCGTGCGCAGCCACCGAGCCGGCGTCGTGCAACATTGCCCGTTGTCGCCATATCTGTTCATCATAATCAAAGCCATAATGTTTTCGACATCGACGCGTTAATGGTGGGCGAGCACCCGACAATGCAGGAGCTGGGCTTCCATCCGCGCGCAGACTTGTTACACGCGGACGACGCGATGCTCACCGGCAGCTTCGCGGTCAACCTCCGGACCCTCCTCGATGCGGTCATCGCTGAAGGTAAATGGTACGGGCTAAAGCTTAACTGGAAAACGACAATCCTCATGAGGATTCGCAATGCTGGTTCCATCCGATACCCGCGCGGGGAGCCGCTGATGGAGGTTGAACAAACAGTATACTTGTGTGGCCTTCGTCACACCAAGTGCAGTGCAAAGTCTGAAGTCACGCGAAGACTAAGGGAAACTAGAGGGATCTTCGAATCCCTTGAAAGTTGTTGGTCACGCGCGAACATCACCCAATCGAGGAAGCTCATACTGTATCGATCAATCGTGGTAACGAAGCAGTTGTATAATTTGGAATTCGTTTGGGCGCTCAAAGCCGACAAGAACATATTGAATGCGTTACGCGTGCAATGCCTCCGGAAGATCTGCCACGCCCCATGCGCACACGTCTCAAGAGTGTCGAACCGCAGCGTGCTGGAGCAGACGGGGGGACATGATCTGAACGAAAACCTTCTCGAGCGCCAGAAGAAACTCTGCAATTCCATGGTTGCGCCTTCAAAGAATCACCCAGTCCGTAAACTGAGGTTCAATCCCGATTCTGAGGCGCCCCGAGCTTGGCGATGTGAGCTGCACGCGTGGGAGATTTTTTTATGTGCCCGGACAAAACTCCTGGGCGACACAACCCGAAGGGAGGTGCCCAAGGTGCCTGCATGAATTCACATGCAGTCGGGCCTCGCAACATGAACGGCGGCTCAGACTCGCCCCAGGCGTCACATCTGCGCCGCCGTTGCGAAATGCCTCGAAATGCCACCCCGGGACATGGCCACCGGCACCACCCCCACTTGGCCGCCGGCCTCATGCAGCGGAGACCCCGCCGCCCAAGGACTTCAGTTCCCGCGACCCCACGTCGGGGGACCCCTTCGAGTAACCCCATCGGGCCTCTCAGGGGTGGTACGGCGGGCCCGCACCTACTGTGGCTGGCCAGCCACAGGGCAAGAGTCTCTCCCACAGCCCCGTCGAGCTGGGGCGATGATCGGGCTGCCAACCCGCCTGTCTTCCTGGGGCGCCACGAGGGCACCCAGCGGCACAGGTGCCAGCCCACGCGCAGGAGGCCCAAACAACACTGGGTACCCTGCGTCCATTCTGCCCTGAACGATGGCAGGCCCTGCGTATGCTGATTTGGCTCGATGTCCCTTGCTCCCTCTCCCCTCCCACGCCTCTCTCCTGGCCTCCCGTGTCTTCCCCCTCGCTTTCTCTGGCTCCGTCCTTCTCCCCCCTCGTCGTCGTCGCCGTCGTTGTCGTTGTCGTCGTCGTATGTGGCCACGCCGCGTGGGAAACTCAACGGCCAATTTCGCAGCCCGCAACGCAACAACCGTCACGGATGTATCATCGTTTCTCTGCCTAAACTCCCGCAGTCTCAAAACAATACAACTGGCAATTGTTCCATGGCCCCTCCTCTCCCTCTCCCCTCCCCTGCCTCTCTTCCGGCCTCCCGTGTTGTCTCCCTCGCTTTCTCTCGCTCCGTCCTCCCCCTTTCGTCCTTGTCGTCGTTAACTTGTGGCCACGCCGCGTGGGAAAACTCAGCGGCCAATCGGACAATTACGCAATACGCATACGGACCCCAACATCCGCCACAAGAAGATCGTCGTTTCCTGCCTGACCTCCCGCGGTCTCAAAGCAGCACTCACTGCCGGCAGAGAGTCGCAGCCGATCGATGTTTCCACCATCCTGCCAGTGCACATCTGCACGGCATCATTTCTGCCGGTGCGCCGCCGAGGCGCCTGGCTCCGTACCTCACCTATGCTTCTTTGACCGACGAAATCGCCCAGGCCTCGCACCCGGCAGCAAAACACGTGGTGAACGTGTTAGAATCAACTCCTGGGAAGTCGTCGTAAGAAAACGCGATTCAACCTGTATACAAAGCCATTGAGCTGGATAATGCCGGAAGAAAGCCCAATCTCAAACTCGATGAGACTGAATTGCTCCGGATATTTTTTTTTCGACCACGGATATACCAGCGCCGATACTGAACTAAACCTCCCAGGAGTTGCACCCTGCAACGTGCAGGCAAACGCTGCGCAGTGGTCACTTGCAGTTCCTCTCCCCTTCGCTCCTGGCGCTCGTCCTCGAACTCCTCCGTGTCGCTCATCAGCTCGGCGTCTAGCTCGTACTGGTCCCTGGTGCCGTTCGGGTGCTTCGAGACGAGCGTGCGGCGCGCTCTGCTCCAGAAGGGGTGGTCGGCTGTCGCGCGCAGGGTCGACGACGGCAAGGATATCTCCACCAGCTCGTCCCTCTGGCGGGAGGGGCGCCAAGAGGAGGACGAGAGGAGGAACATATACCGATACTGCTATCCTTTCCTCGTTTTCTCCTTTGTGGGCCTCGGGAAGTCCTAGTCGCCACGGCTGGATTCGCCTCGAAATCCCACCAGCCCTCTGGGCGTGAGTGGTCTAAGGAGCTCGTTCTTCTAACCCCCTTCCCCTTGGTTTTCAGGGGGCGTTTCGCGAGGGGTTGGTGGCACAAGATGGCTTGAAGAAGGCCCCAAATAGCCTCCAAGATCGCTCCAGATAGCCCAAGATGGTTCAATACAGCTTCCAACATGCCTCCAAGAGTCTTCAAGACTACCCCAGGACGGCTCCAAGTGCCCTCCGAGCCTCCCAAAGAGACCCCCCAGAGGCCAACATCCTTCCAACACCTGAACGAACGAACGCCGGATCCGTGCGCGCGCCGCGCGGGCGCCCGCACGTGCCCGTTTGGGCGTGGAGGTGGAGGCCGTAGCCTCGTAGCCTTCCAACACCTGAAGAGAATCAATGATCTTTGCTTTCTCGCTCGATGGTCCTAATATGGCCCGAAGGGCCCCCAAAAAGGGCCCAAAAGCGCCCGACCGCCCCGAAAGCGGTCCAAAATGTTCCCAAAATGCTATTTTGAGGGCCCCGACGGGGGTGCGTACTTCGGACCCCCCCTTGACCGATAGCTTCCAAGATGGTCCATAAGAGGAGAGGGCCTCCAAGTCTCCCGAGAGAGGCCCAAGAGACCCTCAGGAGGGTTTCGAGAGGGGCCCAGGGGACCCCAAGAGCGTTCCATGAACGCGACAAAGGGTTTCCAAAATGGCCCCAAGATGGCTCCAACATGATCCCCAGAGGCATACTTGCCAGAGGCACCTAGAGCCAAAACGCTCAAAAAGGCAACTCGCCTGTTGACTGTTTTGGGTGGGGATGCGCTTTCTTGTCGCAGCCGCAAGCGAAAACGCAGGCGGCGTGAAACGGAACGGGCGGGCCGCGCGCGAACCGAATTGCCTAACGCGCCAGCAAACAGAGGCCTAGGCGGCTCCTCAGATCGCCCCAAGCGGGAGGTGGCGCGGGCTGCAGCTGCCAGGAACCAGGTCCAGGAGCGAGCGCGTGCAAATTCGCCAACCGATGTTGGGGCGCAGCCAAAACGGCGCGGGAGCGATGCCAGGATGAAGCCAGGAGCGCCATCACGAAGGACCGCATACACCAGCCAGGCCAGGAAGAACTCACAGACCAGGAACCTGGTGCATGGAAGTGGCGCCACCAAAATCGCGCACAACGCTGACAAGTGGTCGTAGAGGGTGAGGATAAGACGTGGGATAAATTATACGAGACACCCATGAGCCCAGCCCCTGAGGGGGGCAGCTCGCGTGTCATACATTCCAGGAGGTAATGCTGTCACCGATGGCCAGGATGGCGTCGCTGACCAGGAGCCAGCGCGAGTGGCGCCACCGAGGTCGCACGCTCGCTCCTGAGGAGACCACGTGCACTCCCGAACAAGGTCGCCGACGTATCAGGAGAACTGACCAGGAACTGGGCAGGGACACGCCTCAAACACGAGGACGGGTGAACACGAATGCCGTGGACACCGCCGCCAATAAACCGTGGATGTAGTCAACGCAGTCGGCCGACGGCCAGGAAAGCACAGGTTGAACCACGTGCACTCGGGGGCTCCATGCGTCAACCAGGAAGTTGAGCATGTGGAGCAGAGCCCGGCTGCCTGAGGAGGGGGCGGCCAGGGCGGAGCGTGGCAGTGCCGTCATCGCGTGGGGGTCGGGGTAGCTCGGAGCGGGGCAACTGCCGAAGGCGCGGGGAGTAGAAGGCGCCGAGGGCGGTGAAAAACATCTACAGCGAGGCCATGGGCCAACTGGGACAGGTGGACCGCGGCCCCAGCGGCAGTCCACGCGTCGGTATTGTCAGCAGGTCGCTGCAAGGGGCCCGAAGGCGGGGGGCAGCGGGTGCTGGGCAGAAAGTGCTACCAGGAAGTGGCTGAAGGCCAGTGGGTTGCCGAGTGCAGATGGAGCGCCACCATGTGTGGGAACGCATGTCGCCTCACCCGTCGCAAGCCCCTTGTCTGCGGCGGGGTCCGTCCTCCAAGCGGGGAAGGCGTGGCGCCCCCCTTCTGAGTGGCCCACTGTTGGTCGGCATACCGGGGTGCCAGGAAGCAGCTGAAGGTTGCAGTTTATGCAAAGAAACCACAGCGACCTGAGCGCGCATGCGCGGCGGGCTGCGACAAGGGTGAAGCAAGGGCGGGCGCGCCCGCAGTGCTGGAGCTGACGGCCTTCCACTGCCTCTTGCCCTTCCTGGGAGCGCGGCTGCCAACGTGGCTCTTCGCCACCTGGCGTCCCTTGCCCGCGCCGTCACTGCGACTCAGGTATCGCGGCCAGGAAGGCGGCCGAAGGCCGCGTGCTCCGGGGTGACACAGGAGGAGAGGAGAGAAGCAGAAAGTGCTACCAGGAAGTGGCTGAAGGCCACTGGTTGTCTGGGGAAAGATGGATCACCGCCATGTGCGGGAGCGCTTATCACCTCTCCCGTCGCCGCTGTGGTCGCCGCCACGCTTGCCTCCTGTCTGCCAGTCGCTGGAGTCCCAGGAGTGTGTCCAGGACCGGTTCTCCCAGTCCCAGGACTGCTGTGGGCTGGGCGCGCGGCCCTTTGGCTGGTGGCCGCCCTTGCCTTGACGCCCCATCCATTTGTCGCGCTCCTCGGCCCAGTCGACTCCCACCTCGAACTGACGATCCAGCTCGTAGGCGTCAAAGCCACAGCGCTTCCAGGCGCCCAAGAAATTGCGGCAGGAGGCTTCGGGGTTCAGTGCCGGGTTGCCCTTCGGCATTCCTTTGGTCCCGAAGGGTGCTTCCTGGCATATGCGTGCCAGACGCCGTTGAACGCGCCCCCCAAGTCCTTCTCGAGTCGCGCGTTCTTGGCTGCTGGGCGCTCGCCGACCCTGTCAAGGTCAACGTTTCTCATCAGCTCCTTGTACATGCGGCCTCCGTCCACGGGGTCAACGAGATCGTCGAAGGCGCGGCTGGCGGCCCCGCTGTGTCCCCTGTCCCCAGGGGTGCCATATCGCGCGGGAGTTGTCGGCGCTCTGCCTCCCCCAGGGGTGCCGTCTGCGTCCGCTTGACCTCCAGGATCTGGTCTGCGGTGCGAGCCGCTGCTCTCCCTGGCCTCAGCATAGCCGTGTCTGGGCCTGTGGGGGGCACCCTCACCCGGCGCCCCGCTAGAGGGCTCGATCCTGCTCCCGCCCGCCGCAGCTTGCCCGAAGACGCCCATGGGGTCATCGAAAGGGCTGTCGTCGCCCGCTTCGCCAGATGCGTCGAGCGAAGGTGGGGAGGAACTGCCTTCCTGCTCGGCTGCACCTGTTGCGTCTTCGGCAGGCGGCGGCGAAGCCACTGGTCGGGCATCGTCGCCGAAATCGACCTCATCGCTGTCGGCCTTAACGGTTGGCGATGGGTTCGTTGGAGTCCGCTGTCTCTTTGACGGGAAGGGGTGGGTGGGGATATTTTTTAAGTCAGCGGCCGCAGGCGAGAGCGCCATCGGCGAGTCGAGTCAGAGCGGGCCGCGCAAAGACGAACTAACCTAAAGCGGTGGGCCGAAGCCTCACGCGGCACCTCGGCGGCAAGGCCGGCGAGTGGAAGGGGGCTGACGGCAACTGGTGGGAAGCATGGGTGGGGACACTTTTTAGTCAGCGGCCGCGGGCGAGCGCGCCGGCGGCGAGTCAGGTCAAAGCGGGCTACGCAGCGACGAATTAAACGAAGGCAGCGGGGGCAGGCCACGCCTAACGCGACTACCCGAGGCCTCACGCGGCAACCCAGCGGCGGACCGGCGGGTGGCAAGGGCGACTGAGACTGAGCCGAACTGCCAGCGTGCAGGTGTGCATGGCGTCGGAAGCACCAGGAGATCGGGACAAACGACGACCCGGGTCGGAAGCCGAGGAATTAACGCAGGGGCCCGAACCCCGGACAACTGCGTGAGCACCAGGGTGGCCGCAGCCAAAGGACCGCCGGCCGAGGTGGAATTGATAATTGCAAGGGCGAAGCCCCGGACGTCTGCGTGAGCGACAGCACCAGGGTGGCCCGAAGGACCGTCGGTCAAAGAATTAACGCCAGGAGGCGGAAGCGTTGGCAGGCTGCAATGGGTGGGGATACGCGAAGTGTCAAGAATCCTGGTCAGAACGCACCCAGGATGAGGTCCGGGGAGTAGCAGTATTGGTACCTTTTGGCTACCCCAAGATGGACGACAGGGAGGAGATTGCAGATCGTCGAGGAGGCTGACGGAGAGGCACGACGAGGGAGATGTCGAAGGATGAGGATAATGAGGGGGATGGTCGGGAAGCAGGCGTGGGATGAGGGACGAGGGGAGGAAGGGACTGATGAAGGAAGGGGTCCGGTGGAGGGTGAAGAGCGGGGAAGGCTGACGAGGAATGAGGAGGGAGGAGGTGGGGAGGAGGACAAATGGGGAAGGATGATAATGGGGTGAGGATTCTGCTGCCTAGGGAGGGAGATGAACGGGAGGATGAAGGACGAGGATGGAGGAGGTCGTAATGATGTGGAATAGGGGCTCTAGGGCGCCGATGTCAAAACATCTTCCATCAGCGATGCCAGAAAGCTGGCGCCTGAGCGGCCCCAGGAGGCGGCGCGGGAAGGAAGGACGACGCGGAGGGCGTGGACATAGAGGAAAGGGCGGGAAGCACGAGGGACGAGAGTGCGAGGGTGATGTGGGTGAGAAAGCAGGGAGGAAATCAGATACAGAAAAACTGTATCAACATACGCGTTCTGAGATTCTCGCGGATTTCTGAGATCGGTGCTGGATTCCCCTCCCAACGCCGATCCAAGAAGTCCGCGCAGAACGAGGACAAGCTATGCTCATGCCGTTGTTCTTCTTCGAAGAGCAAAACAACAACGGAAGGCGGGCCTGCTGCGCCGGTAGGTCGGCACCGCGCGCACCGTGGACGCGGCCGGCTGCTGCGCCTCCTCGTCCCAGGAGGCGACCCGGTCCCCCACGGCGACGTCCTGAGCGAGGCGCGAGGAGCACGGAGGGAGGAGATGAGCATCGTTTAACCGATCCCTGTCCCCACTGGCATGGCCTTGGCCCCACCGGCCGACTTACCATCCCAGGTGAGGATGTATGCTGCTCCCTCCGGGATTCGCGGGGCCTGCCCCCACCCAGGCGGGTGACCTGGCGGGGCTGAGATACCATGGCCCAACATGGATGGGGGATCGGTTAGACGATGCCGAGGGAGGGGGGAAAGGGAGGCGGGAGGGAAGGAGGGCTGATGGAGGAAAAGAGAAGACAGCGCTCTTGTGGGGCCTGGTTCGTCCACTTTTTAGAAGGCCCATCGACTGTCCCTAAGTTAGGATCCAAAACGCCTGGGATGCTGACCCCAAGGCTAGACGGGTGGATGGAGGAGGCGGGAGGAGGAGAGGGCGATGGAGAGTCACTACATCAGAGCACGGGGTCACTGCATCTGTGCACGACTGTTCAGTACGTACGGTCGTATCTCCGAGCGTCGCCCATTTCTTCTGCGGCGCTGGCTCGCCGCAAATCTGGCGCTCCAAACTGCCACGCCTCCCTCTGGAATCATCGCGTCAATGGTACGAATTTGGACGCCGAAACGTGTATTGAAAAAATGGGGACGACGCGGAACAACAAATGTTGTCCAAAACTGAGAGCGGCCGCCATTGGGCAGGCGGACAGCGAGCCCTGTTCAAGATGAGCAGAAACTGCTGCTGGGCGTCCTAACCAATCTTTCCGTACTAAATTCGTTTACGCCGAAGGAAGATGTGATGGGCTGCGGAAATCTCGAGCCGGAGGTGCGGATTCCGCAATGACCGCAACGAGGAAAAGATCTGCGTGTGGTCGCTACATCTGACCTGTTCCTGTTAGCTGGACGCACCCGTTGTTGGACATAGATGGTTTTCCGCCATGCGTGACGTACGATAACGTTTCTCTTTTGGGCGACGCCCGGTCGCCGCTCCACTGGCACTCCAGGAAGCCACGCCTCCCCGTGCGAAGCGCCTATTCGCATCACGAGCCAAGTGAAAAGACACTGCGAATCAGATCCGCAACCCCAATCGAGAAAGGTGACTGCCGATGCTGCACTATGCAGCGCTGTACCGCCCTTGCCGAAGCAGCGACCCAATAGCACTGCCTCAGCACGTCCCCAGCTGAGACGTCAACTGCACGCGACGTAAGCCATCGTCAAACTCAGGCTGTGCGACGTGCCCTTTTTGAACCTGCAGTGTCAAGCACCCAGTCCGCCCAGAAGGGCAGCCAACTCACCGTCATTGCAACCAACGCGCCCCAGGAGCGGCCGAGAGCCTTGCACTCGAGTGTGGCAGGCCTTCTCCCCTCCGCCCGCTCCTGCATTAGCAAGTCCACGGGGCTTCACTTCCACGGGTCCCTCTCCCTGAGCTTGGCAGCCAAGCCTGAACTTCTGGCCACCCTCTCCCTCGTCCTCCTGACCAAATTCGCACCGTCTGCCCTCAGGGCGGCATACACGTTCACAAATCTGAGCCATGCGGCCAAACGAAGGCTCGCCAGGTCCGCAGAATCCGACATGGCAAAGAGTAAAAACATCATCGAAAATGGTTCAAACAGCAGAAGCATCGTCCCCAGACTATTTTTGGACTATTCTTGACTATCCCTCCTGTAGAGCGACATGCCCGACTTAACGTTCAGTCGGGCCTGTCCCCCTACAGGAGGATTTTGGACGAAAAATAACAAATAGCCAACAAATACCCCAAACATACTCAAAAAATTGGAAAAAATAGTCCCTAGACTATTTCTTGACAATTTTTGAATGTTCCCCCTGTAGAGGGACTCGCCCGACTTAAACTTGAGGCCAGGTCCGCCGAATCCGTCACGCGCAGCTCCATCGCAGCCATCGTGACCACGAGGGGCCGTGGAACCCTGCGCGCCTCCGCCTGCGGGGGTCTGCTACCGCCAGGGCCCGCGCCTCGATCGCGCGCTTGGCGACCTCCTTCTTGGACAACTTCGCCCGCTCCTCGACGCCGCCCACAGGATCTACGAAACTCGAGGGAAACAGGCAAGCTCGGAGGATACGACGGAGCACGCTCCGACGGGCGAAACCGGCCCGCATAGCTGAAGATGCCAGCCACGTCTTCCGGCCAAGCGCGGACCGGAAGTATTCGCAACCACCTCGAGATTCGGGGGAAAGCCAACTGAGACAACGGGGGCTCTCCCGCCCAGCCCCTGGAACCCTCCTGGGGTCCATCCTGATCAGTTCTTTCGACGCGGATCCACCCGTGGCGACGAGCAGCCTCCAGGAGGCCCGAGAATGGACGAAAAACGCCAGGGAAGGCCGCTGGTGTCTCGACTGGCCCCCCCTCGACATTTTCGGCTATTTGCCAGAGCGACTCTGGGCAAGAGTGACCTTTGGTGCGCGGCTTTCGGGCGCCGCGGGGGGCCGAATCCACGCGCGCAAGCCTGTGCCGGGGGGACCCCTGTGAGCCCGCACCCAGAAGTCACGCCGGCGGAGTCGAGCGAGAGCGCAGCCGACTCGACGAGCGAGTGGAAAACCCCAGCCCCCCCCCTCCCCCCCTCCGATTCCCCCGTCCCCCTCCCCCCCTCCAATGCCCCATGAGAGAAGTCGAGGTCGAAGGGCGCCGGCTCCAGCGTGCCGGGCTGGGCTGCCCGTGGGCCCTGCCGCCCCAGCGCCGGCACCTCGCGAGGCGCAGCAGCCGTTTCTGCCGGCGCCTCTGCCCTCCAGCGGCTGGGCGACGTCACCACGGCGAGAGCCAGAGCGCAGCGTAGGACGAAGCCAGGACAGGGGCAACATCGGACAGCGATAATCGGGGATCTCTGAGGTGCGGCGGTTCTGGAAGGCGCATCGGGCACCGCGGCCTGCCCAGAGCGGTCGGACACCTTCTGAGACCGTTCCAGCACGTTCTGGAACGGTTCTATCCCTGTCCTGGCCCGCCCGAGCATGGGCTGCAAACAGCCCGCCTTCCGGCGCAGCGAGTGAATGGCTGCGCTGACGGCGAGACCTCTCCCCCGGCATCACCACCCCGCCCCGCCCCTGGCCCGTCCCAATCGATTCTGCAGATGGCCGCGGCGGAGGGTATCGCCAGCTCGCTCGCCCCATGGGGTGCTCTGCCTCATCTTCTGCCTGCCCCGCCCCTCGCCCCTCGCGGCCAGGGCACGACCCCTCCGGCGCGCACGCTCGGCTGGCCGCTCTGCCGCCCTCCTGAGCTCCGCGCGCAGGACCGGGGGTCCACATGCGCACGCTGGCAGCTCCGAGGCCCCTTCCTTCGGGTGCATCGCGAGCAGACGGGAGGATAAGGACCGGGAGGAAGATGAGGGATGTGGGAGACTGAGGGTAAGTGGTCAGGGAGGAGGATGAGCAAGTTGAAGACGAGGAAATCCTGGAGCTGCCGCCGTGTCCCGTCGGCCATCGTCACCGCGGTACCGCCCATGAAGCATCCCGCCTTGTTGTGGACGCGGACTCCGTGGACGTAGAACCAGTGGTGAGGGTGCAAGCACAAGGTCGTGACCTAAGAGGGGATTCGTGGGGGTCTTTTCTGCGATGTCTGGAGATCTTCGAAGGCATCTGGAAGTTTCCGAACCAACATAGCGTCAAGTGTCCAGTCAATTAGGCAGGTCCTGGCTACGCCAGGAAAGCGAAGACGTTGATCCCGAGCCCAACATTGGGCTGGCCAGGACTGGTGGATAATTAGTTGGCATTCCCCGAACCTTCGCGACCGCCAAGCTCCCGCAAACAAAATCTTGGGCCACATCTCAATGGATTCCGGGTCCCCGAGAGGGAAATCATGTTAACCAAGGTCTGGGCACAAAAAGGGTACCTTGAGATACGACGCCGCGAAACACATGCAACATCGTACTGCAAAATATGCAGCATATGCGGCCCATGATGTACCCTCTGGCGGCTCCCTCGTGGGATGCCCAAATGCTGTGCCTGCTGCATGGCGGTGGCCACGCGACCCCGAGAAAGGACACGTCTGGCTCCCCAGACAAGCGGGCAAATCAATACACCGCCACAGTCCGAGCGCGAACGGGCCCGTGAGATCCTGGCGGCTCCCCCCTCGGGGTGCCCAAATGCAATGCCTGCTGCATCGCGATGGTCACGCGGACCTGAAACGAGATGAAACGAGACACGTCTGCCTCCAAAAACCAAGCGGACCGCTCGAGGCATCCCTACAACGTGGGCCGGAACAGGCCCGTGACATACCCACTGGTGACCAAGTGCACTGCCCGTTACGTATGGCGATGTTCACGCGACTCTGAGAAGAGACACGCCTGGCTCCCCCAAACACGCGAGTCGCTCGAGACATTCACAACATCTGGGCAAGAACGGGTCTGTTGTACAGCCTGGCGGCTCACCCCCCACGTGCCGGGCCTGCGACATCGCGATGACCACGCGGACATCTCCACAATCTGGGCGAGAACAGGCCCGTGATACACCCCTCGCCATCGCTCGGACGTCCATTCCCTGTGCTTGTTTTCGGTTTCGTGCGCGGTTTTTTCGCGGGATGATCCAGGATACTCCTTCATAATCACCGCCGAGAAAAAAGCACACGTCCGAGCGATACCAAGACCCATGGCGGCTTCCCCCTCGGAGTGCTCAAGTGCCAGCTACACCACGCTGGTCACACAGACATTTTGTGCCTCAGTTCGCTTCGGGAGCGCCCCTCCGTCGCTCGAGCTCTGCTCGAGTCAGGCAGCCGCAGACCAAAGAAGTGCTTGGACTCCGGGGAGGAGGAGCAGGAGCAGGAGCAGGAGCAGGGAGGAGGAGCAGGGAGGAGGAGGAGGAGGAGGAGGAGGAAGAGGAGGAGGAGGAGGAGGATGAGATGCGTCTATCTCCGACAGGAAAACGAACAACTCGAGACGTTCTCAAAATCTGGGCGGTGCGGAGCCCAAACGGGATGCCTGCTGCATCGCGACCCCTGGCGGCTTCGCCCTTGGGGGACTCCCAAGTGCTAACCGCGTTACATCGCGATGATCACACTGTCCTGAAAAAGACACGCCTGATTCTTCAAAACAAGCGACTCGCTCGAATCATTCCCACAAGCTGGGCGCGAACGGGCCTATAATATTTCCCCTGGCGGCTTCCCCTTGGGTGCCCGAGTGCTATTCATTCTACGTCGCGGTGAGCAAACGAACCTGAAAAGAGACACGCCTACCACATCAATCAAGCGAATCGCTCGAGACAGCCACACAATCTGGGCGCGAACGGGCCCGTGATCTACACCCTCGCGGCTCCCCCGCTGCATCGCGGAGATCATGGGCAAGCGAGTCTGAGTGTGACTGGTGAAACTGACTTGGGGTGAATCTGCATACGACGAAGGCGCGTATGAACGGCTTTGAATGGGAATGAACCAGAGTGTGCGCGAGTCTTTTTTTGAGTGTGAATAAGTCTGAGTGTGTATGTGTGTGTGTGTGTGTGTGTGTGTCTGCAACTTGTAAGTGTGCGAACATGGGTGTGAATGGTGCGTCCGAGCGGGAGTGAAGTTGACCATAACGCAGCTGAGAATGAGTGGATCTGCGTGTGAGTGAGTCTAAGAGCACGAGTCTGAGTACGCATGAATCTGGGCGTTGAGTGTCCGAGTCTGAGTGTGTCTGAATGTAAGCGAATCTGGAGGAAGCGGGAGGTGGGAGGAAGACGAGGCATCACACTAAGAACAAGAAACCCATACGAAGGATATGGGAAACAAATGAACCCTCGATCCCATCTTTCTGAAACATCTCTCAGGCCAAATCAACCCGTGAGGGCCCATGGCACGAAACTGGGGCCCAGAGACGCCCAGAGGACGCCCGAGTCCGATGGTCTGGGCAGTCGTAGATGTCGCGTTTCGGCGTCTCCGGGCTTGCTGAGAGGGGGCCCTCTCGCCCATGCCAACCACTGTCGAGCGAAGCACATAGCACAGTACACCTAGAAGCGAGCGAACGGAGCGACGCTAACTCTGGCCATCGACAAAATTGCCGTCGCTCGGACGTCCATTCCCCGTGCATGTCTCGGCATTTTTTTGCTGGATGATGCAGGATGCTCCTCGATGGTCCTCACCGAAAACAAGTGCACACGTCCGAGCGATGCTAAGCTGATTGCGCAGCGGAGGCGAAGCGGGAGGAAGACGGGGGAGGGCGGGCTGGCGGCCTCGGAAGGGGGATGGGCAGAGGCCAGACTCAGAGGGTGCTCAGACGAAACAAAGCTGCTTCAACATGGACTTTCGGCTACTCGCAAGAGTGACCCTAGGCAAGAAAGACCCCTCCGGTGGGCGAAGCCAAGGGGCGCAAAATGGCCACATCCAAGCGCGCAAGCAACCGCTATCGCACCTCGCTCAGCGATTGGAGGGGTCCCGATGATTCCGCACCAAAGGTCACTCGGGCGAAGTGTCACTCTTACGTGTAGTCGAGGCCTTCGAAAGTCCGCGTGGACCTACGAAAGTTCACGTTCATGCCGTCTGTCCTCGAGTCAAACTTTTCGACTGCGGCGCGGTGGCCCCCACAGACCCAAACATCCGATGTCTTGCTTTCTTCATCAGGGGGTCCACAAAGTCCCAGCCCTTTCTTTCCCTGGGGCCAATGTTTCGGCGAAGCCCCTGGAGGCCGAAAACGGGCAAAAATCTCCCGCCGTGTTTTTTTCATGACGCGAGTGTACAGTCGGGCTCGATTGGACAGGACACGCGAGAGGACACAAGACCCTTCCGAGGGCCACATTGCCACAGGAATGTAGGAAGCATGTCGCGAGACACAGGACACAAGGGTAACCTTGACTTGGCAAGGTCGACCTGCAAATCTGGGCCGACTGTATGGGGACGCAATCCGTGGCCAGACCTCGGGGGGACTCTGGGCCCGAGCGGGAATGTCGGTGGTGGTCGATCTGGCGGCCGTGCACCCCTGAGGCACGCAGGAAGGGACGCGTCAGAATGCCAGGTGCTCTCCTGTACAGTCGAGACCGCACAACAGGGATGCGCTGTAAGGACGCAGGGGCCTTGGAGGGCCATGCTGGCGTTTTCGAGCGGTTGCTGGCCAGCGAGTCGCCCAGGATGGGCCGAAGGAGCAGGGTTGCCAAGGGTTAGCCCTGGAGGGTTGCTCATCCATGCTGTGCGACTTGGCCGTAGGGTTCGGAGAGCCTCCGAGGGCTCGCCCCCCCCCCCCCCCCCCGTCTACAGGGCGCATTCTGGCCACGTGTCCCCGCCTCCCCCTTCCGAGGCTGGTCGGGCAGCCCAGCGCCGCGGTGGCGGCCCCCCCCCGATAGCCCTCGGGCTGCCCACGATGGATTCCAAGAAGGGACCATGAGGCGCCCAAGATGCTCGACATCGACCTCAAGAGGTCCCACGATGCCTCATTTACATCCGAGTCAGGGGACGACACACACACACACACATACTGCTGTTTTGCATGTTTCGTGTTTCCTGCATTTTTCCTCTTACTGTACTATGATACAGGAGAAAAGCCCCAATCATAATCTTTTTAGGGCCATAGGGCTATGGGGCTATAGGCTATAGGGCCATGGGGCTATAGGGCTGTACGGCTATAGGGCTATAGGGCCATGGGGCTATGGGGCTTTGGGGTTATGGGGCTGTAGGGCTATAGGTCCATAGGGCTATGGGGCTATAGGGCTATATGATCATAGGGCTATAGGGCTATAGGGCTACAGGGCTATAGGGCTATAGAGCTATAGGGCTATAGGGCTATAGGGCTATAGGGCTAGAAGGCTATAGGGCTATGTTGCGATTGGGCTATAGGGCTATAGGGCTGGGGCTATAGGGGTACACAGCTATAATGCCATAGGGCTATAGGGCTATAGGTAACGGAAAGAGCGAGGTACGAGTGATGACGTTCTGGTGTGGGCGAAGCCCTAAAGGGAGGGGTTCCAGGGGAGGGGCGTGGGGGGAACATTTGCGTCTTAATGGCCGTTTTGGAAGTTTTCCCTGGGTTTTTTGCATGTTTTTCGGATTCTCCCTTATCACGGCCCAAGAGCGCTCCAAGAGAGCCCAAGACCGCCCATGACGGCCCAAGAGGTCCCCAAAAGGCCCCCAAGAGGCGCCCAAGGGGCGTCCCAAGAGGGCCCCAAGAGGCCAACATCACATATTTTCCGAAGGAAAACGTATATTTTTAGCATATGCGCTTTGTCGGCTTTCACGGCGTTGACGACGGCCCAAGAGGCCCCCAAGACCGCCCCAAGACGGCCCAAGAGGCGCTCAAGCCGGCCCAAGAGGGCGCCAAGACGGCCCCAAGAGGGGGACCACGAACCGAAAAGTCTAGCCTTTCGCCCAAGACGCTCCCAGGAGGCCCCCAGAGCCCCCCAAGAAGCCCCAAGAGGCCCCCAAGAGGCGTCCCAAGAGGCCACCGGGAGGCGAACATCATTTATTTCCTATGTGACAAATGTACATTTTTAGCATACAAGGCTTTTCGGCTTTCGCTGCGTTGAAGACGCTCCACGAGGCCCCCAAGACCGCCCCAAGACGGCCCAAGAGGCTCCCAAGAGGCCCCCAAAACGGCCCAAGAGGGCGCCAAGACGGCCCACGAGGCGCCCAAGACGGCCCAAGAGGGCCCCAAGAGGGGGACCACGAACCGAAAAGTCTAGCCTTTCGCCCCAAGAAGCTCCCAGCAGGCCCCCAGAGCCTCCCAAGAAGCCCCAAGAGGCCGCCAAGAGGTTCCCAAGAGGCCTCCAAAAGGGCCCGACAAGGGCCCCAATAGGACTCCCAAGAAGGCCCAGAGACGCCAAATAGAGAGCGATCGGTCACGCAAAAAGCTCTTCACACCAAGGCTCCCGAGAGCGAACGGTGACGTAAACAAGCTGATAAGACCAAGGCTCCCAACAGAGAGCGGTGACGTAACAAGTTCCTGACACCAAGGCCCAGCCAAGGCTCAGGAACGGGCGGCAACGCAACAATCTCTGAACACCAAGGCTCCCAAAAGCGAGGGGTGACGTAACAAGCTCTCAACGCCAAAGCTCGCAATACGAACGGTGGTGTGAGTAATTTCGGTTTCTGTTTCTGAAGCGCTCTTTCCGTTTCTGTGCCGGGCCAGGTCTAAAGGGCTAAAAAGCTATAGGGCTATGGGACTATAGTGCTATAGTGCTATAAAACACCCAAGCACCTGGGCACCCGGGCGGGCCGCGGAAATCGGTGGCACACCTCACCCATCCATATGAATCCGCTAGGACCCCTACAGAGGCAAGCTCTGATTGGGGAATGACATCCGCTGTGCCCCACAGGGTCCCAAGCCAACTACAGAATCGCCAAACTTAAAACTCACAAGCGGTCCGAGAAGACCGCCAGAAGGCTCAAAAAAGCTCTAGCGGGCCTCTGGAGGGGCACGCGACCCACAAAGCCCTAAAGAGGGCCCCCAAAGGGTGCCGACACGCCAAAAAACCACCAAAGAGATTCCAGAGAGAGCCCCCCCAACACGCACAGAGACACTCCAAGGCGCAAGTGAGCTCTCACACGGGAAAACATAATTACTCCGACGGAAAAACCCCACATAAGAATCCTCTGGGCGAATCTGGAAAAAACCATCACCGTCGTCCTCGTGGTTGGTGAGGCGTCCTGGCTGTCTCTTCTGCGTATATTTCCTCTCGCCTTGGCGCGGGCCCCCCTTCCACTCCTTACGTTGTCCCCATCCTCGCCCCCCTGTTTGTTCCGCGCCCCGCCACCTCCTCCCCTTCCTGTTGCATGAGCGCGCATGTCGATGTTCCTCGGCGCCGTCGCCGCCACGGCCAGCACAGGCGCGTTCTCTACTGGTCACGTCGCGCAGCCGTTGGGACAACCCCGCGGGCCAGGCTGTCGGGACAACCCCGCGAGCCGTTGGCGCGCAAGACCAAGCCGTTGGGACAACCCCGCGGGCTTCGAGCGAGGCGCAGCCGCGCTCAGGCGGAAGGCAGCACGAAGCCCAGCTCTGCCGCGAGCTGCTTCGCCTCCGCCCTGGACAAAACCGCTCTCTTGTCGAACTCCAGGAGCGCCTTCCGCAGGGACGCCGGCGGCCCGCGCTCCAGGAACTCTCGCGGCGGCGGCCGCAGGATCAGCATGTTCCGCATGCACGTGGCGCGGGAGAACATGACGTAGAGGTGCAGCCACCACTGCTCGTCCGACATGCCCGTGCGGCCAGCGTCCTCGTCTCTCGCGCAGTCGATGGTGACGCCCTTGCGCAGCGTCTGGCCCTGCGACAGCGTGGAGGTCAGGTAGGACGCGTGCGTCAGGGTGAACCCCGAGCGGCGCACGCTGTGCGCCCCCGAGCTCTGCCATGTGAACTCCCTTTCGCTGGGCCTAAACATCAGCAGGCTCCGCGCCCGCGCCTCGGCCTGGCCGTCGTCGTCGGCGCCTTCGGCGCCCTGTCGCAGCACCTCGGCGACCTGAGGAGCCCAAAAACTTCCTTGTTGCATCCAAATGTGGCCTGGGAACTGCGTTCTGGCAGCGCGAGAACCCAAAATTGACGACAGTTACAGGTTTTGGATGACCCGCTCGGATTACCAACATGATCTGCGGGCCCCATAGGGAGGGGGCTCCCGCCTGAGACTTCCTCGCAGTTCACTCACAGACGAGGCTCCCGCCTGAGACTTCCTCCATATTCAGGCTTGAGGAGCCCAAAATTGACGACAGTTACAGGATTCCGATGACCCGCTCGGATTACCAACATGATCTGCGGGCCCCATAGGGAGGGGGCTCCCGCCTGAGACTTCCTCACAATTCACTCAGAGACGAGGCTCCCGCCTGAGACTTCCTCCATTTTCAGGCTTGACGAGCCCAAAAATGACGACGGCTACAGGTTTCCGATGACCCGCTCGGATTACCAACATGATCTGCGGGCCCCATAGGGAGGGGGCTCCCGCCTGAGCCTTCCTCAGAATTCACTCACAGACGAGGCTCCCGCCTGAGACTTCCTCCAAATTCAGGCTTGGGGAGCCCAAAAGTGACGACAGTTACAGGTTTCCGATAACCCGCTCGGATTACCAACATGATCTGCGGGCCCCATAGGGAGGGAGCTCCCGCCTGAGACTTCCTCCCAATTCACTCACAGACGAGGCTCCCGCCTGAGACTTCCTCCATTTTCAGGCTTGACGAGCCCAAAAGTGACGACAGTTACAGGTTTCCGATGACCCGCTCGGATTACCAACATGATCTGCGGGCCCCATAGGGAGGGGGCTCCCGCCTGAGACTTCCTCACAATTTATTCAACGATGATGAGGATGAGGATGATGAGTGGTGGTGAAGATGAGTGGTGAAGAGGATGATGATTGATTGTGAGTGGTGGTGGCGATGATGTTTGAATGAGGATGATGCCGATGCCGATGATGATGATGATGATGATGATGATGATGGTGATGATGATGATGATGATGATGATGATGATGATGTTCGTGAGCGTGTGAGAGAGTGCGAGTGATGATGATGATGATGAGTATGTGAGTGACTAAGCATGTGAGAGAGCATTATCGATGATGCTGGTGAGGTTGATGATGAGAGAGTGTGAGTGAGTGTGAGTGTGTGTGTGTGTGTGTGTGTGTTCCTGTTCCTGCGCGGGGTGTCCAGAGAAAACAAAAACCCCACTTTGGATGTGGGGAATTAGCACGGCAGGGCAACTTGTAGCACCCCAAGGAGGCCCCCAGGACGCCCCAAGAATCATTGCAACAATTCCTCCTCCCCCCTTTGCCTCTCCTCCGCCTCCTCTTGCGGTCCCCTTCTCCCGCTACATGATGCGGCCGTCTCTCGACTGGCACTCCGATCTGGTACACACGAAACCATGTCCGCTTGGGCCTGGCGCAGAGTGTTGGCACGGTGGCGGCACTTGTCGCGGGCCCCCGGACGTTCCCCTTGGTCACCTGACGTCGCGCATCGCGCCCCGCGGTGCGCCACGCGCGGTCATCCTCGCGCTCTCGCGTCGTCGTCCTGGAGAGTGGCACCTCTCCAGCCCCAGGGTGCGACGCGCGATTGTCCGATTTGCAGCCGCACGTGACCCCCTGCAGGTCAGCTTCCTGAAGCCCTGGCTGGGGTTCAGAATCCGAAGGAGGAGGAGGAGGAAAGGGGGAGGAGGAGGAGGAGGAGGAGGAGGAGGAGGAGGAGGAGGAAGAGGAAGAGGAGGGGGAGGAGGAAGAGGGGGAGGAAGAGGGGGAGGATTTTTTTTGACATGCGCCGCTAATGACGCCGCAACCCTCCTACGTTGAGTCAGGCCTCGGCGCAGAGGCTCCTGCACCAAAGTCGCAAGGCGAAAGCCTGGCGCAGAGAGCGGTGACACAGCCAGCAGCGAGGCCGCGCAGCATCCGCACGCGCAAGGGGGGCCACCCGCCCAAAAGGCAGGCCGAACCACCCCCGGAAAGTTACGGACATAGAGCAGCCATCGTGCTAGACAGAATAGTCACCCGTGACCTCTTTGGATGAAGGCCACGAAGCATACGAGCCCAGGAGTCTGGTGTCCTGGGTGTGCCGTCCTTGTTGACAGGAGGGCCGCTGCACGGACTCGCCAGCTTGGCGAGCCTGAGACCAGAAGTGTAGCACTTACACGACTGGCAGAAACACACAAAAGAGTCATCACAGCAATCGACCACCCAGCACCTGTGACCGAGCGAGGCCAGCTGAGCGACTTTCACACGCGAGTGATGGGAACAGGCTCCTGGAGGCGGCACCGCCGCTGTGCGCCTCCCTCGTAGACACAAAGTACATTGCCAAAAGGTCCCCGACACGCACCCAAGAATGGCCCCCACGGGCCACCGCGGCAGGGCGCGGCGGGGCGATAAGTTGCACCCCCTTGAGGTCAAGGCGAGGCCAGAGAGGCAGGAGGTGCGCAGACAACTTGGCGACCGCTTTGGCAACTGAAACTAGACGACTCACAGCTTCTTGAAGCTCGGGCGCAGCGGCAGGGTGCTGGAGCGCTCCCCTCTTGGCCGCCTGATCTGCCCCATGGTTACCTAAGCGGTAAAAGGCCTCCTGAGGGGCCAGATCCTGCTCAAAGCTCTGGTGGGCCTTCACCTTGGTGAGCTCAGAATGAGCGAAGCGTGAGAGAGGGCCTGCATCGCCATGCCACTATACGCGAGTTTGTAGCTGATCTGGTTATACTAACCTGGAGCATGATACTGCTTGTGCACATTCAAGCAGTCCGTGTAAAAGTGGCTAGGTCCCGCGGTCAGGAAAACAGAGCCCCCGAAGGCCGAGTGTTCCCCTCCCTGGCTCGTCTGGGGCGTGGGGCTCCAGACGGGGGCCGAAACCGAACAGAGAGGGGCCGCGGAGTCCGAATTTTCAAAAACACATAGCCCCCACCCCGCTCTCGACAGCTCCCGCACAGGATGTTTAAAGCACGAGCCATCCATAAAAATGTGGCTCTTGAATCCGCCACCCAGCCGAGCTGGGTCGCCACGCCGCGCGATGTCTACACCTGTGTCCGAGAGCGGAGGTGGAAACAAATCCCCTGGGTGCCTGAGAAGGCCTCGGGTGAAAAAGGGGAAGGTCCACATTGGGGTCCTTGGAGGCTTCAGGCACCCAAGGGTCCACAAGACTGGCACGCAGCTCAGAGCGCTGGCTACGCTCCCAAATCCTGTGGGACAAAGAGTCGGGCTCCCCGCAGAGAACACGCTTAGGGCAGCACTGATAACCTAAGCTAACCGCCCTGTCACGAGTCCAAGTAGCCCCGCAAAGAACCGCCTTCGCATAGCCCCTCTGGATCTTGTCGAACTTAGACGACCGAGTAGCAGAAACCATAACGTCGAAGCACAACCGATCAGGGGACCACATAGCGAGGCTGGCCTGTCTCTCCGAAGCACGAAGCACTCCTTCCCTGAGGAGCTTCTTCAACAGAGCAGGTGAAGTGACAGGCAGCGAGATCACTTACTGGATGTCATTGGTCAGAGTGAAGGGGTCTTTCATCTGCCAGTCAATCCTGCACAAAGAAAGCTTCATGGCACCGACTGGTCCACCACGCGAGCGCCATGTGATGTCCTTGGAGAACGTGGCACTCCATGCCGAGCGCAGCGCAGCAAACGACAACGAAAGAGACGTGACCTTGCTAGCCGTGATCCACACCTCCTTCCCCCATCGAACCACTGGTGCTACCGAGGCGAGCCAGGAGGGATCGTCCTCGGCGATCATGAGTACGGTGAGCGAGCGACCTCCTGCCGACGGCTGTAGTGCACGACCGAGCCCGCGACGGATCCGACGCACCTCCCCGTCGCTACACCCGTGAACTTCTGCTCCATATAGAATGCCAGGTAGCGGCCCAGCGGTAAATATCTGCTTGCGTCGCTTGCCGAGGTCAGGCTTCAACTTGGCCAGCCTCTTGGCACGACGGTTAAACATGGCGGCTCGCTTCTTGGCAGTAGCACCACGACCAGGCGATCTTCGAGGCTTACCCTGAGTGTCGTCGATCCCGAGATTAGCTACCCCCGTAGTGGTCGGCCCAGCTAGTCCCCCTAGGATGTCACGAAGGCGACGAGAAACGGTCGCCGAGGGCGAGATGAGGCAAGCCTTGTCAGCCGTGACCCCCTTGGTGCGATAATCCACAGCGAGCACTTACAATCGATCGTGAGAATGCGGCGCAGCGCTCGCGATGCGGCCACAAGGTCCCGAACCCCGAGCTCGGGACTGCCCGTGCAGTTCAAGGCACAGTCGTCGATATAAGCATCTAGGGTAACCGAGCGCGGCGGCGTCAACCTATCCAGATCCAGGACGAGGTATATACGAACGAATGTAGTCGCGATCGAACACCCAGCGATGACACCCTTGATGGCTAGCCACGGACCGTTGACGCTGCCATTCATCAATGCGAACCGTGCACGCTGGTAGGCGAACGCGCACAAGCGGGCCACCTGCAAAGAAAAGCCAACGCGCCTGCAACGGTCTAGAAGCAGCTCCAGATCAAATGGTTCGTAGAACTTATACATGTCCCGAAGAACGCTTGCGGACGCGTCCTTGAAGGAAACAGACTCTTCGGATCTAAGAGCTTGCCTCCGAACCACATCCGAGGAAGACTTGAATCGCCCACATGCGAAGAAGGGCCTCTGCCAAGCAGCCTCCCACTCCTCAGCTAAGCGACGGCGAGCGCGTCCCCGGAGTCTGTAAGGGGCCACGAAGAGGCCAATAGGCCTAAAGCCTCCAGAGGCCTTCGACAACATAGCCAGGAGGACCACCCTCAACTGAATAGGAAAAGCCGAAAGCATCTCCCAGAGCTGGAACATCTTCCCCAGGGCCAGGAGGGCGCCATCGCTAAGCTGTGCGAAGTGCCTCATGTGAAACCCGTCGACAGAGACCGCCGTATACTTGGAATAGCTGAGGCTGAGGTCTCGAAGCACAGGAGGGCTGAGAAACTCCAAGGGCTCCAGGATAGCCTCGCGCGCGAAACGGTCAGGCGGCCGAGCCTCCTGATACGTAGTGCCCCAGAGGTCAGCAAACTTGAGGGCTTCTGCCTTCAGGAGGCTGAGTGGATCCGAAACCAGGGCACCATCAGAGCTCAGGGTAGTAGTAGGTTTCCAAGTTTCCAAGATTGGGGGTCCCTCGTGAACTTGCGAGCCCCCTTGCCCCCTTTCTCGATGCCCTCCAAGATCCACTGCCTCCAGGAAGCTCTAGATAACTTACGAGTAAAGGCGGCGGCCTCCGAAAGGGACTCCTCGAAATCCTCCAACAACTGGGTCAAAGAAAGCCTCCAGTCATCCAGAGCAAGCTCGCCTATACGTCCCAAGAATAAAACAGCCTGATCGTGAACCACGGACCACTCCCCCAGATTGTCCAGGATACTCTGAGGAGGACGTCGCAACTGACCTACAATCGACTGCACGGCCGGGTGCTCGACGGGGTCGCCCGCGCCGAGGTGCCCGATCAAAGCGCGCAACTGCGCAACAAAGAAATTGACCGACTGCTGCGCTGACGGCGGCGCGGCCCTGGTGTCGATGGTGAGCGGATCGTGCCGCTCGCACCTGGGCCTGCGTCCGCGTGTGCCAAAAACTGGGATGGTCGACTGCGTCGATGCGACAAGTTCGACCTCGCTGAGGTTGGCCCACACTTCGTAGGCCGAGTCCAGCCCCGAGAAAGCCTCCTGCAGCCTCCCAGAGACAGCACTTTCCAAAGTAAAATCCCAAATCTCCAGGGCCTGAGACCAATCGGGCGGCTGCGCCACGGGTCCCATGGCAGGCTCGACGGGGATCTTCGGAGGCTTGCGAAACCTGAGGGCCCTCAGAGTGCTGAGCGACTTGTGGAACTCCAGACACACAGGCAAGTGAGGATAAGTGGCGGCCTCCTCGACCAGAGAGACCTCCTTTACGCATTTGCTCAAGCCACCAGAAACCAGGAAATAGTCATAGTGCTTGGTGCCGTTGGGGCCCGTCAAAGACCGTCGATCCCCAGGCGCCGACACCAGTGAACCTCGCAGGGGCTCGGGAATCCCATTGCCCAGGAGCACTTCGGGAGCCGGGTTGAAATCCCCGCCCATCGCGAACGGCAGGCCCGAGTGCCCCAGGAACGACATGGCATCCGAGAGGATGGCAACGTTGTCATCGCTCATCTGCTCGCAGTCGTGCAAGTAGATGCTGGCAACTAAGAACTTCGGCTGTCCCGGCCGCTGAACAACACCTGCAACGCACCTGCGCGGAGAAACCTGAGTGGCGTCGAGGAAAGGGTGGAATCCAAAAACTGCACGTACCGCCAACGCAACACCAGCAGAAGCACCACCTTCCCCCCCAGAACAACCAGGCTCCCAGATAATCTTCCAACCATGTCGGGTCCCCCACGCACTGGCTTGATTGATTTCTTCAAAACTGCGAAGCTTATGCTCCTGTATACACACAGTGTGAGCACGGGTTTGTTCCAGTCTCTTACGAGCAGTTCCCCAGCCCGAACCGTTGAAAGTCTCGAGGATGAAACCGAATTCACCACCAGGAAACTCAGAGTCCGAGGGAAGAACTACACTGGGCTGGTTATAGCAGCTCACCGATGCAACAGAGCTCTGTGGGTGGCCAGGCGCCTCAGACTGCACCGACCCCTCCGCTAAGAAGCCGCTCCCAGCCTTTAACCCTGGGAGCCAACCAGCTTGCGCTGGGAGGTGGGTGGGGGCTGTAGCAGAGGGGTCTGTCGACAAGGTACCTGGCGATGACGCGGCGCACCCAGAGGACGAAGTATGGGCCTCCAGCGGCCAGGTGGGAGGACGCAAAGCCCCCTCCCGATAGGCTGTAGTGATATTAGGTGCGCAACCTGCTGGCCACGGCCTCCACCATCTCCAACCTGCGCTTCTTCTCCTCAGCGGGCGCCGATGGGGCCGCACAGGAGGTTGTAGAGGTCGTCGTCTGAGCGAATGTGGGGCCTGGCCACAGAAGCAGAAACCGATCTCGCAGAAGAACCACGAGCCTTGACGGCCTCGTCGGACTTGTTGAGATGCTCCTTGCCCGACTGCAACGCACTGCGCATGGAGGTCGTCGAGGCCCTCCTTCTGCACAGCCTCTGCGGCCTGACCCAAGAACACGTCCATGGCCGAGAAAGTGTCCTTGAACTTCGCGATGTCGACCTCAGCACCTGGGTCTTCACCGGGAGGAGCCACCTTGGCGGAGAGCTCGCGATATCGCACACGAAGCTGCTCGATCTCCGTGCCGATCTGAGCGGACCTTGTCCGCAGCTCCTCGCCACGCTTGCGATGGTATTCGATAGAATCCGTAACCTGCAACAGCTCCTTCTCCTTGGAAAGGAGCTGCTTCTGGACTGCCGGGGCCTGCACCCCAGCGTTCGGCTTGTCGAGCTCCGCCTGCTTGACCGCACTGGACGAAGCAACCAGAGCCTGGAGGATGGCATCAGCTCCAGGGAGACAGTCACCAACGCCCTTGAAGTGCTTGGTGAGCGCCTCAAGGTACTCATGCTGGTTGCTGGACGGAGGGGGCGGCACACCAGCGCGGCCGAATCCTTTTCGAGCACCTTTGCCACCTCCGTCAGCGCCACGGCGACGCTTACCTCCTTCAGGCAGTTGACCATCCCCACCAGCACGAGGACGACCCTTAGCCAGAGGCGAGGCCAAAGGACTGTGGCACGACTTGCACCACTTGTACCAAGGCATGTTCTTCTTGCAGCCACACGTCCCGCAGGGAACGACGAGCGAGGAGGGCCCGCCGCCCGCCATGGCTGGAACTGCACAGGGACGCGAGCGATGCTTGCAACGCAGCGTGCTTTGGCGCAAGACGGATAAGATTCAGGGGCCTGTCCCCAGGGAAAAGACACTGAGCCTCCCCTCGGCGGCGAACAAGCTCGAAGCGCCAGGGACGAGTTTCGAACTTGAGCCAAAATGGCTACGGAGGAAGAGGGGGAGGAGGAGGAGGAGGAGGAGGAGGAGGAGGAGGAGGAGGAGGAGGTGGAGGAGGAGGCGGAGGAGGAGGAGGAGGAGGAGGAGGAGAGGAGGAGGAGGAGGAGGAGGGAGGAGGAGGAGGAGGAAGAGGAGGAGGAGGAGGAGGAGGAGGAGGAAGGAGGAGGAAAAGGAGGAGGAGGAGGAGGAGGAGGAGGAGGAGGAGGAGTTGGAGTTGGAAGAGGACGAGGACGAGGAGGAGGAGGAGGAGGAGGAGGAGGAGGAGGAGGAGGAGGAGGAGGAGGAGGAGGAGTTGGAGGAGGAGGAGGAGGCGGAGAAGTTGGAGGAGGAGGACGAGGAAGGCGAGGAGGGCGCAGGACGCGGAAAAAGAGGAGGAGAAAGAAAAAGCTGCGGAGAACCCAGCGGGTGGGTTCTGTACTCCTCGCGCTACCAAAAAGAACGCGCCGAATACGGAACGAGGGTGCTCTTCTGGCCACTGCGAGCCTCGGACACGGGTAGGTCTCCGAGATAGACCTCCAGAACGGCCCGAAAAACATAGCCCCTCCTGAGCCCAACATTTGTTGTTTAGCGTCTTGGCCGTACCCCGTTCGGCGGCAGCTCCGGCAGCCGTGAGGGCGCGCGCTAGGTAATTAGGTTTCGCTCGTAGCCGGGGCTGACTTCGGACACCGCCTGCGCCTTCGATTGCGGCCGCGACCAAAAAAAGTCTTGGCCGTACCCCAGCGTCGATTGAATCCGCAAAAAGGAAAATTCGCGAATGAGCGCCGGTCTGAGTTCTGCCAGCCCGGTCGCAGCAGAATTCTCGCGCCATTGTCATCCTCCCCCCTTGTCCTCCTCCTACCTCCTCCTCCCTCGTCATCCCCCCCCGCTCTTCATGCTCCACCTCCCCCCTTCTTTCATCAGCCCCTTACTCCTCCTATCCCTCGTCCCACGCCCCTTTCTTCTCATCGTCCACATCCTCCTGGTTCCTCGGCAACTTACTTGTCGTGCCTCTCCGTCAGCCTCCTCCATGCTCTGCACTCTCTTCCATTTCGTCGTCATTGGGACTAAAGCGAGAATGATGTCATGATAAGATTGGCTGTACGTTCGGAAATTTCCAGAGTATCTAACGGTGCAGCTGGTGCGGAACATTGGCAAATTCTGGAAATCCTGGAAACCATGTGGAAATCTTGGAACGTATTATTATTATCATGACCTCTTGGTCCTCTGAAGGACAACCGAACAATACCAACACCGCTACTCCCTGGACCTCTCCTGGGGTGCGTTCTGGCTGGAATTTCGACGCGGATTTCGCCGTGGCGGCGAGGGCCTCGGAGGCCCCGAAAGGCGAAACGATGGAAGGGTATTGTCAGCCACGCGCAAATTGGGGTAGGGGGAGAGGGTAAGGCTTCTTGGAAGCACCCCTGCTTCTAAGAAGCCTTCCCCCCGTACCCCCCTCTGCGCGTGGCCCGAGGTATCTCGAGTAAAAGAACCATACCCTAATCGTACGCACCCCGACAAGCGAAGCCGCTCAGTGAACGCAACCAAGGAAGGACTCGAATAGGACAGGGCTGTTTATGAAACGCCACGGGCCCTTTAGTAAAACAATTATGGGGGTCGGGGTGTTCATTCCTTGAGTATCGGTACCGTTTCCTCTCGTGACCACTCGAGAGGAAGACGAAACAGCATGAACATCACTTCTCCCAGGTCTGCGCGGGCTTCTTGGATCGGCGCTGGACCTGGGGCGGGGGGCGCGCCAGTGGCAGAGGCGCCGCCAGGGGGGCCCAGTGCCGATCCCAAAAATCCGCGCGGACCTGCGACAGTTTATGCCTGGGCCGTTTTCTCTCCCATGTCCTGCGACGGGGTTCTTGCTATGACTTAGACGGCTCCGAGAACCTGCTCCTCACCTCCTTCTCTTCCTCCTCTTTCTCAGCCAGAGTGACTCACTCACACTCCGACTCGCTCATGCTCAGTCATACTCAGACCCACCCACACTCGGACCCACTCGTACTCTGACTCACCCCCGCTCGGTTCCATTTGCAGTCAGACTCACCTACGCTCAGAATCTCTCATGCTCAGAGTCGCCTACACTTAGAGACTCACTCGCACTCAGACTCACCTACACTCAGACTGACTCACTCTCGGACTCGATCGCACTAAGCCTAACTCACACCCGCACCCCTCTCGTACTCAGCCTCGGGCGCGCTCATACGCATTGGTGGTCCGATGCTCGCCGCGAGGAGGGGGGGCCAGCGGCCAAGACACTCCAGGACTCGCGCCCAGATTGGAGGGATTTCTCGGGCGGGTTGCCTGCTTTTGTGCCCGACGTCCTTTGCTTCGGGGGCAGATCCAGAAGATGCTTCAAGCGAGGCGCTGGTTCCAGCACTCTTTTTAACCGCGATGACCCTTACACGCCCCCATACAATTGGAAATTCATCATCTTTTCGGCGACCTCATTGACGGACTGGGGACCCACCAACCGTGTGGCACACTTGTTTCTCTGCGGCGCCCGCCGCACAACAACGACTACGACGACTACGACTGCTATTGCGACTATGATTCTGGCTACAACCGCGAGCACAATCATGATTGCAACCACGACTACAACCACAACCACTGATTCCTATTGCGATCCTCATGGCGATATGCTCACACATCCTCTCGCGTGTGGGGTGCCCCGCAATGGATTATTGCCTGTGAAGGAATCACCGACAATATCAAACCCGCACAATAATAGAGGGACAGTAATATCCGCCGCGACGACAACGACGATTACAAGTACAAGCGCGGCTGCAACCACGATTGCAACCGCGGCTGCAACCACAACCACTGAGTCTTATTGCAGTCCTCGTTCTAAATTGCTCACACCTCCCCTCGCGTGTACGGTAGACCAAACTGGAGTACTCCTGCGAATAAAACCACGTATTATCCAACCCGCACAACAATAACAGGAAACACATGCCCACCACGACGGCGACGACTACGAACACGACCGCGAAAAAGAGCAGGAGGAGGACGAGGAGGAAGGGGTGGAGCAGGAGCAGGAGCAGAACCACGAGGAGAAGGAGGAGGAGGTTGGGAAGGAGGAGGGAGAGGAGGAGAGGGAGGAGGAGAATGAGGAGGCAAGGCGACTTTGTGCCCAGACGAGCGAAACAGAAAGGGGGGGTGCGAACCGAAAAACCTCCTGAATTTAAACGGGGGGGCGCCAGCAGTCAGGACTCTCCAGAATCGCGCACGGATGGTGGGGATGTCTCAAGCTGCTTGCATGGTTGCGTGCCCAGCATCCACTGGCTTCGGAACGTATTCTGAGGATGTTTCAGGCGAGGCGCTGGTTTCAGCACTCTGGGGGACAAGGATCAGGACACCCGAGGATTCGTTACCATATTGTTGGGATGTCTCAAGCGGTGTGCCTGCTTGCGCGCCCATCATCCTCTGCGTGTCGGGGCAGTGTCCGAGGATGTCTCAAGCGGTTTACCTGTTTCTGCACCCCTCAATTACCACACCGATATACCAGGCGTGGCCTTCGGGCACCCCAAAGGGGAACCGCCAGAGGTGGCCCCCCCTCCAGGTTCGCGACAATATTCTGGGTGTCTCAAGCTGTTTGACCCCAGGTGTATTTTTTTTCGTGGTCCAGTGCCCGTCCCGATATTGCAAGCGTGGCGCTCGAACACCCCAATGGGGGAACGGCCAAGGGTGGGGACACTCCAGGCTTCGCGCCCCAATCGGGGGTCTATCTCAAGCGATTTGCCCGTTTCTGTCCCTCACCCAAGCGTTTCTTTTTGTGCGGTTCAGTGCCACCTTGCTATAGCAGTCGTGGCACTTGGGCACCCCAAGGCGGAACCGCCAGGGATGGGGGCACCTCCGGATTCACACCAGGTTGGGGGGAAGGGCTTCAGGCGGTTTACCTGTCTCTGCCCCCGCCCAGACTTTTGTTTGGCCTTGTGCTTGTCAATCACTCGCTTACTCACCTCTTCCCGTTTCCCCCGCTCGGACGCACTCATTCATATCCCGACATACTCATAAGCATCCCTTCGTCGCTCAGACTCGCTCATCGCATTCAGACTTGCCCATGCTAGCGTTCGTTCATATTCAGACTCGCGCATGCAGATTCACTCAAAATCCCACTCACCCGCACCCAGATCGCCTAAAAATAAAACTCACCCCAGCTCAGACTCACCAGCGCGCGCGGGGCGGCCCCTGGGGGCCCCTGGACGAAAAATACCCCGGCCGATCCCCGGCTGACCCCCGGGCGATCCCCAGGAGGGAGGCTATTTTTCGCCACCCCTCACGAGGATCGTGGCCCCCGAGGGGGTGGCTGCAATCGACTACCCCCCTCCTGCCCCCAAGGGCCCCCGAACGCCCCCCAAGAGGCCCCAAGGGGGCCCAAGACGCCGCCGAGGAGCCCCAAGAGACGCCCAAGAGGCCCCCAAGAGGCCCCCAGGAGGCCCCCAAGAGGCTTCAAAGAGGCCCCATAGAGCGCTCGAGGGCTGGCGGAATGAGCGAAGCGATTAAATAAGACCCACTCCAGCTCAGACTCACCAGCCCTCAGACTCACTCATAAGCGCATTACCTCGCACCCGAGCTCGCTCATGGTCAGATTCGTACTCTTCACACCCAAATGATGACTCATCAGCCCTCAGACTCACTCACACTCAGACCCACTTGCACTTAGACTCGCTCGCACTCAGACCCACTCATAATCAGACGCGCTCGTATTCACGCTGACTATATACAGACTCGCTCGCACTGACGCTCGATCATACGTGGGTCCGCTCACATTTCGGCTCGTTCACACTCAAATCACCCACACTCACTTTCACTCGCACCAAGGCTCACCCGCAAACGTTGACCGCGCTATTGCCGGCGTGGCTCTTGGCTTGGGCGCCCCAAGTGCCAGCAGGCGCCGCGAATAGCAAACCAGAGTGCGGGCGTATCAATGCCATGCACGCTTGCCTGAGCTGCCGCGGGGAAAACGGCAAGAGGAACTCCCCCTCGCTCTTCCATTTGTGTGTTCCCTCGTGTCTCCTGAAATATGTGCAGAGGAGGATGATGAGGAGGATGAGGAAGAGGAGGATGAGGAGGAAGAGGCGGTGGAGGATGATGAAGACGTCACTAAAGTTGTCGTTGTCGTCGTCGTCGTCGTCTTTGTCGTCGTCGTCATTGCCGCGCCTGTCGTCTACGTGGAGTCGCCCTCACACCCATATGCGCATAGACAGAATTCCTCAGCGAAACGAGACTGGAGTATGAGATGCACATCTGGGGACCTCCGCGTCGAGACATTCTCCTTCTGCCTGTGCGGTCACACGCGCGCACACACACACACACACTAACGCCCCGAGTTATTCGAACGCGTTAGCGTCCGCCCTCGCTGCTGCAAGACGAGAATTATGGTATGATGCGATTGACTCAAGATACGGTCCAAGAATTCCGGAGTATCCAGCGGCCCTCGTCTCTGCAGCCCGTGTGGAACAGTAGGTAATCTTGGAATGCATGGAGATCTAGGAAATCTTGGAACGTATCTCGGCGGCGAGCGAGGGGGGAGAAGGGGCTGGCCTTTTCAGAAGGCTCGGAAGGTCCCCAGCCTTCTAAGAAATGTTCTAAGCCTTCCCCGAAGTCTCCAGACAACTCCCAGAAGGCTGGAGGCCTTCTGAGAAGCCACGCCACCTTGTGAGAAAACCTTCTCCTTCTCATTTCCTCCCCTCGCTCGCCGCCGAGTATCCGTGTCAAATATATCATAACCCCCTGCTCCTCTGATGCCGGCTTGGGCTGGCCACTGTCTCTGCTACGCTCGACCTCCACGGCGGCTCCGTCGTCAACCGAGAGTCCGCCCTCTTCCAGCGCCACTCCAGAGTTAGGGTGGCCTGCTATCGACAGGTGTGTGTGTGTGATGCCGACCAACGAATTCTTCGACCCTCTCCTGTCGTGGGCGGCCAAGAGGGGGGCGTCCAAGAGGGGGGGCGCAAATCATGGCTGGCGGCACGTGCGCGGCCCAGGGGGGGGGGCGGGCAGGGACTTGTTGAAACAAGAAGAGGCGTCATGAACTCTGGGGAGACATCATGGCCCCCGCCATGAGAATTTTCCCTCCTATGGAGGGGCCCTGGGAAAAAACAACAAATAGACACAAATAACAGGATTCCCCATATTTTCCAATATTTTCTGGGTCTTTGTCTTCCCCCCACGCCCCATATTTTCCCATATTTTCTGGGGAATCGACGATGAATTATTTCTGTGTGTATTTTTCCCTCCTGACCCTAGCCACACCCCCCCCCCTCTTGGCCGTCCCCGACCCTGGCCTTCACTGCATCCGCGGGGCTCTGCCGGAGCAGCGCGGGCGCCCCGCCCGCGGCCGCCCGGAGGCGCCGCGCCCCGGCGACCCGCACGGCCTCCTGCCGCTCGCCCTCGAGCTCCTCTGAGGGGCAACGATCGGGGGGGGGACTGGCACAGGGGGGGGGGGGATGCGTCGACCCGGAATCGGCGATACATCGCCGATAGATCGGCGATAGCCCCACGATAGTGAGTCCGCACCTTCTTGAGCGGGTTGGGGCTATCGGGCCCCTATCGGCGATCAATGGGCGATTGCCCCCCTATGCCTATCCCCCCTATCGTTGCCACCGATCCTCCGCGGGGCCCATGAGCTCGGCCTCCAGCCCGTACTCCTCGGCCGGCGGCGGCGCGCGGCGGGGCGGCGCGAGCCCGAAGCCAGGGCAGACATCGAGGATGGACAGAACCCCCTTGAGTAAGAGGTGGTTTAGGGAAAGCGACCTCGGGCCCGAACCCGGCGGGCGTTAACCTGGAAAATGACGGCCGCGGCGCCCTCTCGAGAACCGAAAACGGACAATTCACTAATCGACGTGTCAAGGTAGGGCTTCTGTCCACCCCCTAAAGCATAGAATCGGGCAGAGATGCGTCGGACTCCGGAACCGAACTGGTCAGATTGAGTCGGTGTTTTACTTCGCTTTGGGGGGTCGTCCGATCGTTTCCCACTCCGGCCGGGAGGGGCCTTGGGCGATTCTTGGCCGGTTTCTGCCTCGCCCTCTGCTGTTTTTCTCTGCCTTGGGCCGAGGGCGTCCAGCGTCCAGGCCACCTTCAACTACAAACAAGCAGGGGTACATCGGGGATCTCTGGGATCTGGCGATTCTGGAGGACAAATCGGGCGCCGCGGCCGTCGTTCCGCGATCACCCTGGAACGAATTACCCATCGGTCGGAAGAAGTGGGTAGAAAGATGAAGTAGGAAGGCGTTGGAAATAGATCGGGTTTCCGCCCCGCCTCCTGAAGAGGAGGGAAGAGGGAAAACCACTCGACTCTTGAAGTAGGAAGGCGCTGAAAGTAGATTGGAGTCTGGGAATCCAGAAATACCTACTTTCAACGACCGAGGGGTATCCTGGTCTTAGGCCTGCCTGACAAGACGGCCTCTTGACTTCCGGGGCACACCTCGGCCCTCCAGCGGCCGATCGGGACGGATCCCCGGGGGCGCGCAAGCATGGATTAGCGACCCGTAGACTTGGCGCGCGGTCGCCAAATCCATGGATTGGGGGAGGTGCCCTCCCCAAAGCGCGGCGGGTGCCGCCTCGATCGGCGGCGGGAATCCGCGATTTCCCATGGAAGCGGGACCCGTCGCTAATCCACGCCCCCCTCATCCATGTCTGCGATCGCCTGACGACCGAGGGGCAACGTCAGGGTGGACAAGCTCAGGGGGGGAGAATCGAGCTTGAATCGGCGGTGCATCGCCGATGGATCGGCGATAGGTCCCCGATGGCGAAGCCGCACGTTCCTGGGCGGGGTGGGCCAGCGGGCCCTGATCGGCGATCAGTGGGCGATTGGGGGTCGATGCGTTCCCTCCTGAGCCTATCCCCTCTCAACGTTGCCCCTACGGAGGGAAGGAGTTTGGAAACAACTCCTGTGAGATCTTCGTAATAACGATTACGGACTGTTATGTACGATGAAATGGTCATTAAGCCGGATTAGACCAGATTGAACCTGGGGTTGAGCCGGAATCGGCGCAATTGAGCTGGATTGCGCAAATGGGATTAAGCCCGATTAGGCCGGTTTTCGACCACGGCCATACGAGCGCCGATGCTGAGTCCCACCAGCCCTTCGGGCTAAGGCGGTCTAGCGAGTTCTTTCTTTCCTCTTCCATAAGCCTTCTTCCCTTCGGGGAGGGCACCCTGGCCCCTCCCCTCCCAGAGCTTTTTTTTGGGGGGGGTCGCGATGTGTTAGGGGTCTTTTTTCGCCCAAAATGGTTCCAATATGGACTCCTATGCTCCAACATTGTCTCCAAAACCGCTCAAGGTAGCCAACTATGGCTTAATCAAGATAGCTTCCGACATGCCTCCAAGAGGCCCGACGAGGGCCGCAAGACGGCTCCAAGTGCTCTCAGAGCCCCCTCAACACCCCCCAAGAGGCCAACATCCATCGAAAGCCAATGGAAACTGAATGATTTTGGCCTTCTCGCCTTTTCGCTTCCGATGCGCTTTTGATGCTAGATGGCCCCCCAAATGCTTAACAGAGCCCCATGATGGGCCCAATTGGCCCCCAAAACGGTCTCCCAAACGGCCCCAAGAGCGCCCCAAGGGGCGATTTCGTGGGCCCCAGAGGGGGGACCAAACATTAGGACCCCTCTCTTTTCACCGATGCCCTCCACGACAGCCCAAAGAGGCCCCAAAGGGGGCCCAAGACCCCCCCAAAGCACCCCAAGATCACCCCCCAAAAGAGCTCAATGAGGCGATCTTGCGGGCTCTGTCCTCGTCCTCGTTGTCCTCCTCCTCCTCCTCCTCCTTCTCGACCTTGCCCTCTTCGTCTTCCTTTTCCTGTTTCTCCTCTTCCTCGTCGTCGTGGTCGTCGTGATCGTCGTGGTCGCGGTCGTGGTCGTCCTCCTCCTCCCTTCGCCCCCGCGCGGGCCCCAGGGATGGCTCGAAGAGGCCCTCCAAGGCCACACTCTGCTCCAGAGATCTCTCTGTTCACCCTGGTTGCCCGCTTTGTTTCACTTGCGCGTCTCTTCGCCCCCTTCGTTGGCAAGGTTTCTGCATGGGCTGGTGGGGATGCGCGAAGGGTGAAGACTCAAAACTCTGAGGTGGTGCATCCTGAGATGGGGGAGGGGGGAGGGACTTTTCCCAGAAGGCGCGGGGGGGGGCCCCTCTCGGCAGGCACGGGGGCGGGCTTCCCGAAACAACCCCCGAAGCCTTCTCGGAAGCCTCCCGGGGCCCCTTCCAAGAACCCTGACATCCGCCGATCTGTTCTTGCCGATCCGCGGCCTCAGAGGTCCCGACCGCTTCCCCAAGGAGGACCGCTTCTCGTCCGGGACCCGCTCCTCACGGCACTCGGGCCCGAAAACTGCCCTCAGATAGGTGCCGAAGACGAAAAGCAACGCCCAGATAGACAAAACAATTTTTGCGTCGGCGGCGAGGCGGGGGAAATCTGCGCTAGCGGAAAGGCCTAAACGGGGGCGCCGTTAGGACAAACTGTGCCACCATGCAAGAGGGGGAGCAGGAGGAGGACGCGGCCGAAAGAGGGGACGGAGGTAGCGAGCCGCTTAGGGGAACGGGTCACGCCCCGAGCGTGTGGCGCTGTCAGCTCTACCAGATGGACAAAACAAACATATCGTCGGAGATCAGTGTTATCTCCTGGAGCCTGCCTTCTGAGAAGCCCCTCCCCGCGTTTGGTGCCCATTCCATGGGAGCCTATGCGGTCCCCAACGCTGTCCGAGTTGGGCCTCGTTTGGGACCATAATTGGACCGACTTCGCCCCTTCACAAGGGAGACGAGAAGAACGAGGAGGAGGAGGAGGAGGAGGAGGAGGAGGAGGAACGGGAAGGGCGCGGAGAAGCATGAGGAAGGGTCAACTGCAGCCCAGGTGCAGGACGAGCTGATCTCAACGTCGCCGCCCCGGGCTCCATGCGAGGCCATCGAACCCGCGCCCTCCTCGGAAACCCCCGCTCCCCCCCCGCCCCCTTCGCTGTGCGCGCGGCGCCGCGCGCCGCCGACGTCCTCCCGCGTCGCATTGGGGTGGAGCGACACCAGCACGCCGCGGCCCCTGCTCCAGAAGGGGTGGTCCACGGTGGCGTGGAAGGCGCGCTCGCCCGGCAGCGAGATCTCCACGAGCTCCGCCCTGTCCCTGTCGAACTCGGGCACGGCCCGCACGGCCGAGGCCGCGGGCCTCCGCAGCTCCTCGTCCCAGGACGCGACCAGGTCCCCCTCTCGGAGCAAAGGGGGAGGCGGCACCACCACCACCGGCGCGAGGCGCCGGGGAGGGTCCTCCTGGCGGTGTCGTCCGCCCCCCTCTCGCTCAGCTCGCCGCTGCTCGGGCGTCCATTTCCCGTGCGCTCTTCGGTGCTGTGCTTGGCTTCTGCTCGATGATCCAGGATGCTCCTCGATGGTCCTCGCCGAGAAAAAAAGGCACACGCCCGAGCGATGCAAAGGCAGACATCCCCTATCCCCAGCTCGGGGAGGCATCGTGGACCCCCTCGCTGGAGGCGGCTCCCCCGGTGGTGGTGGTGGTGTCGCCTCTCCTTCCGCCGACCTCGCGCACGTCCCGCAGCTGCCTCCTGGAGCCGTCCGCCAGCGTCACCTCGGCCGAACCCAGGAAGCAGCCCTTCCCCGCCGCGCGCCTGGCGCACAGCGCCAAGGACAAGACCGCGGAGACGGATGCTCTCCGCCGCCCTGCCCGCTCGGGAGAGCGCATCGCCAATGACCGCAAGAGGGCGCGATGCGGACCAACGAAACAACGAACGCTTGACTTGAGCGCGGAGGGGAGGAAGAGCGGGCAGCGGGGCACCGGTGCGAGCGGGCGGCGGTGGAGGAGGAGTAGGGGAGGGAGGCAGGGGGTTGCTCCTCGGGAGGATGCGGAAGGAGGAGGGGAGGAGGGAGACGGATGATTCGAGGTGAGCGAGGAGGAGGGCATTTAAGAAAGGGGAGCGAGGAGGAGCGGCGGGAACGAGGATAAACAGGAGGATGAGGAGGCGCAGGCGGGAAACTAACAGGAATGATGAGGCGGGACCTGAGGTCGATCAGAAATATGGAGCGGAGGAGGAGGAAGCGGAAGAGGAGGAGGAGGAGGAGTCTCTGGAGTCTCTGCCTGATCGCGTAGCGATGTGCATGATTCAAGTTCCGCCACCCGCTGTGTAGGGTGTTCTTGTCTCTGGCAGCCTTCTCAACCCGACTGAGGACCTTGGGCCAGAGACCAAATGCGATTCTTCTAAAGTGTTCCTTCCCAGGGGCCGTGGCATCTGGACAAGGGTCCCCGAGTTTCCCGAGGAGCTGATACGCTATGGCGCCATAGTGGGGAAATGAAGAAAACCCAGTCCAGCGTGAAACCTTTAACGATGGGTGTTATGAATGTTAACCCAGCAATGTTAACCTGTTCTCCTGAGGGGGCCATCATATAATTGCCATCTAGATTCAAGAGTTCAAAGCGTTCAGACTGGAGCCACTCGGATCTCGAGGCCTTGCCAGCCGAGGTCCTACACCTAGCGCACTTGGTCCCATTGGGTTCGAGACAATGCTGTGAACCAAGCCGTGCACAGACACTTTGGGCGGGGGGCCTATTGGGAACGATGTTACCCTGCCGCTTTGGGCGGGGCCCCTCGGAGGTCTGCAACTGTGCCTTCTGAAACTCTAGGGCATCGAGCGCAATGCGAAACAATCTCATTCTGACAAGGAATGCCTTTTGCTCGATGAGTGCATGCTGTTGCCTCGCAGTCGGGCTGAGGCGTACCGCGGTGGCTGCGATGCCCGCGAGCTCGTCCGCGACGGCGTTGCCGTGGGCCAGAGGGGCCTGGATCCGTCCTGCCAGTATGTAATCAGCGCTCAGGTGGGATGGGATCCAGATGATGGTGTTGCCTCTTTGCTGGCCGGACCTCTGGAGTCGGAGCCATAGGTCGGCGTCTGGCCCACGTGGCTCCTGCGTGTGTCCATTATGGTAGTTGAGGTAGCAACCGTCGCTGTCGGTGACGAAGACGAGGTCACGGTGGGTGCCTTCGGCGGCCGTGACGATGGCAAGGAGCTCTCCGCGAATGACTGCCTGCCGCTGTCCTGGTCGGGGTCCCCAGTAGGCGGCTTGCAAGTTCATTTTATTGGCCGTATCCTTGCCTCCGCTGGCGTCGCCGAAGGTATAGAAAGTGGGCCCATATATCAAGTCCAAACATCCTGAGTGGTGGCCATCCATAGCGTAGCATGTCCATTGTCCCTGCTGCACTGTCGGCGTGGTGATGGTCCAGCTGGCGGGCATGGGTCCGCGCGTCCAGAAACATTCGTACATGTTGTGGCAGCAGCAGGATAACGCAGATGCCTTTATACCTTGAGCCAACCCGGCAAGGGAACGAAACCAAGCTCCCGCTCTCTGTAGAATGAACTACAAGCTAAACCTATATCTGTCAAAATGGAACTCCATCACATGGGTCAGACTTTCTAATAGGTTTAGCTGCCCCATGCAAACAGCACTGTACACACAAGTCAGTCTTTGTCCTGATAAACAGGACGAGCAAAGGACAGGGGAGAGGGAGGAGAGTTGCCGGTCCCCGGACCCGGCACGACACCTCGAAAAGACGACCAAGACACTAACCAAGAGTCTTTGGCAAGAGTCCTCCTAGAGGCGGCTTGGGAACGGTCCTTGTTTCCGGGGTCCTTCTTGCGACGATCGAGCTCTTCAGCTTCGTCGACTAGAACTAGCTTCCCGTGGGTGAGGAGACTGGCCAGAGCAGCATTGCCCTTTGTGATGTCATCTTTGGTCAGTGCGTCCACTGGCATCCTGGAATGTGGGACCCAACGAACATGCCCTCTAGCATTCTCAAGCGTCTCGCACACCACGGCTAAGTCCAACGCCGTCCTGCGATCCCTGGCGCTGGCGTTGCCCTCCTTGAGCAGTGTGTCGTAGATGCTCTTTGCGTCTGCGACATGCACCTGGTCTTCACGACCTCCAAGACTGCAGTTACTCCTCAGAACGGTGGTAAACGGCCCTGCCGAGGGGAGTCCGAAACATCGACGTCCTGGAACATGACGTCTCTGTACAGTACCTGCAGAAATTCTACTTCGGCCACCGCAGCCGAGAGTGCCTGCCTTTCTCCGGCAAGGGTCGAAGTGACATTGCGGCGAAGCTTGGGACTTCTCCACCCGAGAATTGACGCACGAACGACACGGTTATCAATCACGCTCTTATCGGTGGCCAGCACCATCCACGCCCCTTGGGTCGGGTCTTCTGGGAGACCCTTCTCATCCACTGATCCCTCGCACGAACCCACTCCCCCGGCGTCCGAAAAAGACACAAACGCCATCTGCTCGGGATCCAGACGCCAGATGCTTAGGCCTCTCGAGGCCGTGGCTCTCAGGTGGCGCACCATCTTATTGGCGCAGGCCGCGTCCCCGACAGTGGGCTCTTTGAGGCGACTCGCTAAAAATGCTGGCCGTTCCTGCGGCCTCGGGGCGCGATTCGCGACCGACCCAGTTCAACTTATCTATGAGCGAACGCAAAGCCTTGAATTCTTCCCGGTCCAGCGGGGACCTTTTCTGGCCTAGCCTACCGCGGGCCAGGGTGATGGGTCTGATTTCCTCGAGGATTTACTTTTCTTGATCAACTATTGCGCGCTGAGGTTCAAAGCGCACTGATCGTCCAGCGTACTCGACAGGTCCAGCAGCACAGTCTCTGTACTTGCCGAATCGAAAGTTACCCTCGAGCTTCGTCCTCAGCCACTGCCGGGATTCCTGGGAGTCGCTCGCAATGAAGAAATCATCGACTTCCAAGAGAATCATATTGCAAATGTGCCCCCGAGTGTCGTACCGGATCCACCAGCACGGCTCCAGGAGGCTCTTACAGAAACCAAAATCTTTGAGAAAGCCCACAATAGTCTTGCGCCACGCCAGTGGCGCATCATCCAGACCGTACACGTTCACCTTCAGACGGATCAGAGATCCGGGTTCAACCTTGATGCCATCGCATGGTTCCACGTAGATCTCGCCCTGGGACCCCCTCGTAGGATCGGATTGACAAAACGCGTTTTTGACATCCTTTATGTCCCCCAAGAGAGAGAGATTCATCATCACCTGAATGAACATGAGAATGGAGGTCGTCTGGGGGGTGGGAGAGTACACAAACAGCGAACCCGTGTCGGGATCCTTGTGTCTGTGGACACACCAGCGGGACTTCGCCACTGGCTCGGAGAAAGTACCTTCCACCGGCTTCCACCTACGCACCATTCTGCTCGTGATGATCCTCTCGGGACACGAACGTCTCACCGCGGAGGCTTCCCGTGGGGCAATAACCTCGACGGCTCCCGAGCCGAGCACATTCTTCCACTCTGAGTCGGCTGAAATCTCGAACTTCTGTCGCTCGGCGGGCGACAACTTTCCTAACGTGACCTCTCCTCCCCTACTGGCCGCAAACACTTCAACTTCATCTTCGGGTCCTGGGACCTCGGTCAGATGCACCCCTCCGTCATCCGTCGGCTGAATCCAGAAGTGTCCTCTTCCTCGAGGCGACCGCTCGCGGGCCGCGGACCCCTCGCTGCCTCGAAGACGGTCTTCAATCTCGTCAACTCTCTGACCGACCAGACCCCTTGACTCCTGGCCAGGCCTGGAAGAAACAGGAGGAAGAGGAGGAGAAGACGGAGAGAAAGGAGAGACCGACGAGAGAGGAGAAGCGGAAGGAGCTGGGACCTCGGGGGAAGGAGTCGACACGTCGGGCGGGTCAAGCCCCGGAGGTGGACTCAGCCTGGCTCTCTTGGGCTCCCCGCCTGGCGCGCCTGGCGGGCAACTGGAGGCTCGTTCCTCCGCTCTCCGCCGGAGGATGCAAGCTGGCGCTCCACGGGCTGCCGGAGCCTGCCTCCCCCTGTCTCCGTGGGAGCACCAGGGCGGAAAGGAACGGAGGCAGAGTCGGAGGGAGGAAGAGGGGTAGACGAAGGAGAGGGAGAGTGAACCACAGTGTCATTGTCAATGGCATCAGCGGGCACGGCGGCAGCAGCCCCTCCTGGTTCCCCCTCCAGACCGGGAGGTGGAGAGGGTGCAACGTCACTAGCTCCCGGAGAATCCTGACGGGAAGGGATCTCATCGCTCTCGGATATCGATGGAAGCCTCGTCCCTTCCGATCCAGCTCGAGCCATCACCGAACCCCCGGACGAGGGCGGGGCCCGGGATCGGACCCCTGGGGCAGGACGGAGCACCACTGGGTCGAGGGCTCCGGGTCCTCCTCGGGTCGTGGGACAGGTGCCGCGTCTCTCGGCCTGGGCGGTTCGGCCGGGACACTGGGACCTGAGTCGGATCCCGGTTCCAGGGGCTGATCCCAGGCATCCTCTGGAGGTGGGCCTTCGCGTGGACGTCTACAGCCGAAGCCCTCCTCGTCTGGGCCTGGCTCAGCAGCTCCATCCAGCGCGGGTCCTGGGACAACTGGATTCCAAACTCTTCTTCTGGCGAAGCCAAACGCACTTGCTCGGGGGAACACTTTCGCAATCTCGCACGCGCGGCAACCCGCGCGGTACCGCGCTCAGCCAAAACCACCACTCCCGGACCGGTCCAGGCGTCTCGACGCCTGCCGAGGGTGTCGGCCCTGGGACCCGCCTTGGTCATCCTGCGCCACACGTGAACCCACTGGCCTGGAGCTAAGTTCACGGTGGGCCCGGCCTGGGCCTTGCTCGCTCTCTGAACCTTCTCTCGGGCGGTGGTTTCTGGAGCCCTCCCCTGGCAACCTCGCGCACCTTTTGAGATCTCGGAAACTCGGCTCCTGCCGAATCAAGCTCCGATGAGGGACGGATGCAAT